GCACACGAAAACCCTTACAAATCCCTTCTTCTTATGCTGCTAAATGCGGGACATAATAAGACGATTTCAAAATTCCCACTCCCATTGTAAATGTTGCTTTTGACTAATATTTTAAGTAATTTTTTTTTATGTTGCAAAATCGTACTTTTTTTTTATCTTAACACTAATTATTATAAAGCTGAAGAGTTTGAACATGCTAATCGCAGGAACTGTACCGATTTGAAAAAATATTTTTTGTTGGATAGCTCATTTTTATTTTTGTCTTGGATAGCCCATTCATCGAGGAAGGCTTTAGGCTATTTAACATCACCTTACAGTCCATAGGAGCGGAGCAGTAAAGAAAAATGTTGCAAAAACATGAAATATTATTCAAACTATTTTTACGCGTACGAAGTCGCGGGCACAGCTATAACAAATGTAATAAATAAGGTGCAGTATTTACCTTGATGTTTTATTCTTACTTACCAGAGAATTACAAATTCAGCCACTTTACCAAAATAATTTCGATGTTCTAAATTATTATAAAGTCCATTGTAAATTTAAGCCAACACCAATGTATTCTAAAGGAGATTATTTGTGTTCAAATCCAAAGTACGAGTAATTCTCCTTTGAATAATAATTAAAAATTAAAAATGTCTGTATGTTTGTTCTTAGTAAGTTAAGTAAAGGTAAATTACAGTTTCGATGCTATAGCTTTTGACCTGAATTTCAGACTGTCACAGACTTATCGCACGAATTTATAACTTTAACTTTATGTTTGGGAAATTGGTCAACAACTTTTTATATTAGGTATGCTATAATTATTCTTGACTTACTTGACTTAAGGTCCTATGTCCCCTAGATGGGGCAGAGGGCGTCCTCCATCGCAGTTGGTCTTGAGCTTCGCGTTTGATCTCGCTCCAGGTCTTGGCTAATTCTGCAATGTAAAAAACTAATGATTAGAAAAGGCTTTTAAAAAATGCTTCCACATTATATTTTAGGCAGAATTGCAGAACGGGACTATTCCCACCTCGCGTTTTCATCACTGCAACTCCTGTGTTACTAGCCAGGATCTACAGTTTGACCGCCAACAAAAAACCCAAGCAGTAGGTCGAATTTGGCCGAATAATAAAATAATGAATTTTCGACACGGACAAAGTCGCGGGAAAAGCTGGGCTTAATCAACCGAGGATTTCTGTTTTGGCCGAAATGGCAATATTTTATGATAATGTGTTTTGGGTCGTTTAAATCGAGTTTATGTTGTAATCGAGTTATTTTGGCGGGATAGCGACTCATTATGCGTAGTGATGCGCCACATCGATACCGGCAAATATCGATGAAACATTAATTCACTAGCCGTTTTGTGAAAGAACTACCTGAGAAATATAAGAATCCACTTGCTTGGATTTTTTTGGTAATTATCTGTGACAAAAAACATTTCATTACATAAGTAATTAAAAGGAGTTTAAATACTCGTGCCTGGCTAAACTTGGCTTCTCCTAGCGGAGATGTTTACGGTAAGAGTGGCAGTTCGATGCTCAAACCGCCGTTACCGCGTCGCGTTGGGCTTTTCTTGTAAAATCCATGTGCTTTTTTTTATCGTAATAACTGAGACTAAGATAGTTCAATCGGACCCACCTTGACTTGTCCTCCGAAAAACTGATTTCCTTTTTAAACATCTAAGTGTGTGTGTGTGTAGAAGTGCTTTTTAAAAGCCTATTTGCAAAAATAAATGAGTTTTACGAGGGCGGGGGTCGAACTCAACCATTGGACCTACTTATTTCCATTGAAGTTATCGATAACCATTTTATCGATAAATAGGCGCCCCTTCAACTGTATTGACTTTGGAATAAAGGGCTGACCGCGTTTTATAATCACTGGTTTATTGGATTTTTGGGGTAGTTTCGAATAACGTCCGGCTTAATTTAACTGAATCGTGGAACAAGGCTTAAGATATTGATTTTAACGGCGCACTGATTACATTTACTTGATATTGTCAATTTTCCGTTTAATAAATTGCTATCAGCCTTTTTTTTGGTTAACGATGTTCGCCCCAAAGATTTCAATTCAAAAAATCTTGATTGGATTTGTTGAAGTCACTTACAGGGCTGTAGATTTCATTTCACTTAACATCATGTACATAAGCTCAAGTATCAGCTCATAAGTGAGTATATTAAAAGATTTTAAACTTTCGCATTCCATTTCAACTAAAATAGTAAGACACGGGTCTTAACGCGACTTCTATTAATGAGTTACATTATGTACTCACGGCTTGACGTTTTGGCTGCGATGCTGCAGCCGTGGTCACAAGCAGACTGGCGGCTCGCGGCGTCGTCCGGTCTTCATAAGTGAGTACTACTCAACTATCACCTTCATGTAGGTAGCCTAACATCCTGGGGTGGGCAGTAGACCATTCTTCTAGATGAGCATGATCTTGACTGATAACTATGATTTTCAAGACTGTTCTTAAATGCTTCAATCATCTCAAAATAAACAATCACAGTTCTATCGGTAAAATAATACTGTAAGTACACATTTTCCGTATATACATACTAGCTTTCCGCCCGCGGCTTCGCCCGCGTGGAATTTTGTCTGTCACAGAAAAACTTTATCGCGCGCGTCCCTGTTTCAAAAATCGGGATAAAAACTATCCTATGTTCTTTCCCGGGACTCAAACTATCTCTGTGCCAAATTTCATCAAAATCGGTTGCGAGGTTTAAGCGGGAAAGCGTAACAGACAGACAGACAGACAGACAGACAGAGTTACTTTCGCATTTATAATATTAGTTTGGATTAGTTGGGATGTCAACGTGAAATTGTGAACTCTGTCAGTTTTTAATATAACGCGTTAAACTAACAGTGGGTTAGGTTAGGTTGTAATTTAACTACGTCAGATTATAATCTGACGGAATTCACAATTTTACGGTGACATATACAAGCCAACTTAAAAGAAATTCAACGAAAACCGGTTACCAATTTTCCAACCGGTATTTCACAATTAACTCTGAAACTACGTTCAGGATTACGCTAAACTAATTGCTGCCTTACCGGTTTTACCCAGTTTTACCGGTAAAAACTGCAGTTTTAGAAGAAAATCTTTGAGAAAAGGTGCCGTAAATGAAATGGCGTTTTTGGTAGCTTTCCTTTTTGATTTAGCACAAAATGGTGACGAAACTTTTTGCTTAAATCTTTAACTATTTGTTGTATATCTTGACTGATTTTTACGGGATTCAGGAATAAAATTAAAACTCGTAGACCAGTTACAATCAGTACGTGTGTAATANGGAGTGTTAGGATTATATTATCTTTGGAAGTGTATTAAATATTAAAAAGTTAACTGTTTCCGGTAGAACGTTCTTCCCTCTTCCGGCTATGTACGAATAAGATGTGTCTGTGTAAGAACCCGAATAATAAATGCTTATCTCGCTAACTATCGGTCTTTTCATTAAAGAAACACAAGTTCTGATAGGGTGTTTCTTTAATGAATTCTATCAGTTTTTGAGTTGCTTCAAATTTGTTTCTCAGTAAGTAAGTTTGAGTAAAATGAGAGTAGTCGTCAACAATTACTTGAAAATATCTGTAGCCTTCTTTTGTAGGCACTCTGGCTGGTCCAGATATATCAGTGTGTATCAAGTCACCCACTTTGCTTGATCTTGTTCTATCTAGGGTTTTGAAAGGTAATCTTGTGGCTTTATTTTTCATACAAGTTTCACATGTTTCTTTGCTGTATGGTAATCTCAATATTGCTAGATTTTTCCTGCACATATGTCCCATTCTCTTGTGCCATAAATTGTCATCTTTCTCTTGTACTAGGTTAGCACAATTGTTCTCTGGTAATTGCAATATAAATGTATACAGTAGACCTGTCTTGTTGCCTTCATAAACTTTTCTGTTGTTTGCTATGATCAGTACCTTCTTGTTTCTGAATATTACTTCCTTTCTATTTTCAATGAGTTTACCGACTGACAGTAGGTACGTCGGGGTCACCAATGTACGTTATTTTTATATACCCGATGTACGTAATTATATTGATATACGTTATGTTCAGGTATATTACTGTTGAGTCCACAAAACGTACGTCAGAAGGTTGGAACAGTAAAACATGTGATTTCTTTAAAGGTGTAATTGCGACTAAAATAAAACTGGCGGGCTCAGCCGCCGACACATACAAGGAACAGTATAACTATTGTTTCCTATTGTTAATTGTATTGGGCAATGATGTGGGAACGCAGGACGCTACTCAATACGCTCTGTTCATTCATGGAGTTAATTTATTACTCTGATTAATGTGTACCTACAATTTTTTAGCAATTAGGCTTTTAAAAAGTGCTTTTACATGTATTTTAGGCCCAACTGCAGAACGGAACTATTCGCACCTCTCGTTCCCACCACTGCAACTCCTGTGTAGCCAGGATCTACAGCTCGACCACCAACCAAATATCTACCCAAATAGTAGGTACCCAAGGTTAAATTTTGCCGAATTGCAGAAGTAACTTAATTAATAAAAATAAATTTTCGACACGGACAAAGTCGCGGGAAAAGCTAGGCTTAGTCAACCAAGGATTTCTGTTTTGGCCGAAATGGCAATATTTTATGATAATGTGTTTTGGGTCGTTTAAATCGAGTTTATGTTGTAATCGAGTTATTTTGGCGGGATAGCGGCGACTCATTATGCGTAGTGATGCGCCACATCGATACCGGAAAATATCGATAAAACGTCAATTCACTAGCCGATTTGTGAATGAACTTCCTGAAAAATTAGAAAGAATAGAAATAAACATTTATTACGATGAACATCACTTAGTTAAGGACAAAGAAGGTATACGGAAAAAAAGACAGAAATAACACATACAATAAACATAATATTAAAAGGAAATAAAAAGTGAACTGAGTAGTGCTATCCTGTCGCAACAGTGATGCCCATGTCAATGGGATTCCACTCAGCATATGCCGTGGCCCACGGTAGGGAAGGCCATGACGCTAGTTTTCAGTGTGCCCCATCCATGCCGAATTAAGAATCGTTACGCTGGTTTTACTTGTTTGGATTTTCCGATATTTATCTGTGACAACAAACATTTAATTACGTTTGTAATAAAAAGGATTTTTTAAAATGCTCGTGGATTTTTTAAAAAGGGCGGGGGTCGAACTCAAGCATTGGACCAATTTCCATTGGAGTTATCGATAACCATTTTATCGATAAATAGGCGTCCCTTCAACTGTATTGACTTTGGAATAAAGGGCTGACCGCGTTTTATAATCACTGGTTTATTGGATTTTTGGGGTAGTTTCGAATAACGTCCGGCTTAATTTAACTGAATCGTGGAACGAAGCTTAAGTTATTGATTTTAACGGCGCACTGATTACATTTACTTGATATTGTCAATTTTCCGTTTAATAAATTGCTATGAGCATTTTTTGGTTAACGATGTTCGCGCCAAAGATTTCAATTCAAAAAATCTTGATTGGATTTGTTGAAGTCACTTACAGGGCCGTAAATTCATCAAACAAAAAATGACATTAAATGTATGACGGATTGAACAGCGTTCAAAAACTAAAATTTTCATACATTTCTCAGCCCACAGCAGGTGTGATTGCAGGCAAATAGCAGCGGGTATCAGCTCATAAGTGAGTACTAGTCCTACTCAACTTGTGAATGTATTTTCTGTTTTGAGAAATATCATCTTCGTATCAGTAGCCTAACATCCTGAGTGAGCAGTAGACCATTCTTCTAGACAATTAAATAGGTACGAGCATGATCTTGACTGATAACTATGATTTTCAAGACTGTTCGAATTAAATGCTTCAATCATCTCAAAATAAACAATCACATCTCTAAGTATCGGTAAAACAATAAGTACCTACTGTACACATTTTCCGTATACAGGGTGTTAGGTAAATGACTATATGAGCCGACACTAGCCCATGTTAACATGGTCATATAAATGGTATGGTGAAGTCAGGATATCATCATTTATTTTTTTTTAATTTTCATACAAAATTAATTTTATAAAATCCGATTTGTATGAAAAATAAAATAATTAAAATGAAGATATCAATTTTCTGACTTCACCATACCATTTATATGACCATGTTAACATGGGCTAGTGTCGGCTCATATACTCATTTACCTAACACCCTGTATACAAGCCAACTTCAATGAAATTCAACGAAAACCGGTTATCGATTTTCCAACCGGTATTTCACAATTAACTCTGAAACTACGTTCAGGATTACGCTAAACTAATTGCTGCCTTACCGGTTTTACCCAGTTTTACCGGTAAAAACTGCAGGTTTAGAGGAAAATCTTTGAGAAAAGGTGCCGTAAATGAAATGGCGTTTTTGGTAGCTTTCCTTTTTGATTTAGCACAAAATGGTGACGTAACTTTTTGCTTAAATCTTTAACTATTGAATGAAAATGGACACAATAGAAAATGTATTATTTAATGGTCGCTGGTGACATAGGACGTGTTTTGTGAGACGTTTAAGCGCAGTGATTGAAAACTTAGTTGTGTATAGGTTCGAGGCATTTCTCGAAGCGCACTCATTTTGAGGCGCACTAATAAAGCGCACCTAAACTATTCCTCCAATCGTTTTGAGGCGCACCTAAAATGAATAGTTTAAAGCGCATAAACTTTACATATTATACATTTTTATAGCAGCATCTATTTACTTACCACAACGTGTAGCTTATGTGGTCGACTGTGGCTAAATTATCCGATTGAAGTCCCAGATATTCCTAGAATGCCTTCAAATTAGTTAATTGCCCTCAGGAATCCTGTGTTGTCTACTGTTACAGCCTAATCAAATAAGTAAATAGAACAAACAACCTATGAAAAATCTCTGAACTTAAGGTTAGACCAGACCAACGCGTGCAGCCGGCGTGCACGATGACGATGGCGATGGCGACCAGACAGCGTGTATGAATTTGTAGCGATGTATCATTGAGTTATAATGTACTACGTACTAGAGAAGACATGTCAACTAGNTATAGTGAACAGGATTCTCAATCTTTACAAAAAAATATTTTGTGCAGCAGACCCTTTCATTGGAAGTAAGGAACACTTCAAAAAACAAATAAAAATTCAAATTATCAATAACGAAACACCGTAAAAAGGTATTATTTCCTCTGTTTATTAATGTCTTAATAATTAACTAACGATCCGCCCGTGTTTCGCACAAGTGCAATATGTTATACTTACTTACATAAAAACCTTCCTCTTGAATATCTTAATCTAATAACTAATTAAAAAAACCGCATCAAGATCCGTTGCGTAGTTTTGAAGATATAAGCATACATATGATAGGGATAGACAGCGGAAAGCGACTTTGTTTTATACTATGTAAAGATGACTATGCAACACCATCAATTTCATGTCGCAGAAACCGTTGCTCAACCTTGTCTGTGTGATAAGGTTGATGACAGCGCTTAACCTCGCTCTTTGCTGTGCTTCCCTCCATTTGGCGTTCGAGTAAATGGTTAATAACAATGTGGAATGTAATTATAGTATAATTTAATAGGTTATGAGCACTGTTTTTTTTTGCAAATATTTTACAAGTTTAATTGTAAAATGTTTGTAATAAGACTAATAAAATTATGTGACTTATCTCAGCTTCTCTTCACAAATGTTTGTTTGTACACAGACAAAATTTAAACTAAGTTACTGCGTGGATATCTGTTATTGGCTTTCCTTAGTGTTAAGTGTCTAATGTTACATTGAAATCTGTAAGCTGTTGATGTCCCTAATTAATAAATAAATAAATAAATGCGTATTCTATTCTTACCTTCAAGAAGCGGTCCTTGCAGTGCTGCACCAACTCCTGCTCCCTGCCAGCGAAGAGATTCAGTCCGACTGGCAGCAGTCTCTTCAGACACGCCACCATGAGAGACGCTTGCACTTCCTTGTCCTTGTCCCTCTTCTTGTCACGATGTTTCTTCTTCTTCTGCAAGTTACAGAAGTTGCATTAGTTTGAGTATTGAATTAGAACTCCATCCTTTTCACACTCATGTACTTTATATCTGCATTCCGCTCAAATTTTGAGCTGTAGCAGGAAATTCCGTCAATTGATTTATTTTGGTCCCCAAAGATTTCCAGAGTGAAAATACCTCATTTCTCCCTCTTTATTTGAAATTGTTTCACAATTTACTGTGTTATAAAAAGAAGAAAAAAACACTAAGAATTTGTTCGTCATAATTATGTATGTATTCAAAAACGAAGTAGGTAGGTATATAACATGCATAAGTTTGAAAAATAGAACCGAAAAACATACTTTAGCAATATTATATCATTGATATTATATCGTAAGATATACAAAATATAAATATAGTTGATATATTATTGGAAAATTAACTATCTATTAGCAAATTAGTTTTAAAAGGTTAAGTATTGTAAAAAGTATTTAGTAATATTAAAGAAGTAAGTATTTAAGGCCATTCCGTAAAAGCGTATTCAAGATAAGCATAATTACTATTTAGTACTTTTAGCGTTAATTAAAATTATTGTGTGTATAAAAAATCGGTCCTAAGAGTTTAGAATAATATTAAAGTTAAATTACGATCATTCAGTTTAAAAAAACTGGGAAGTCGTATCGCAAAGAGTAAAATGTGTTAGAAAAGTTTGCACAAACATGTGTGTACATAGTTTGACACACGTCTGTCAAGCGTAAGCTTGAATATAAATTAAAGCCTGTCATTAATATTGATTGCAATATTTAAGTTCTCAGACCAATCATTGGCTACATTCTTTTTATTCTATTTTTCATTTTTAAATTGATTTTTATATCAAAAGACCTATGTTTAAAACTACGTATGTAGTCTTATTTCTCGTGTGCCGAAGGCTTGGCTGAAATTATGCGAAAATGACAATGCACATTTCTATGAGTAAACATGAGCGTCCAATGTCATGATCCTGTAAGAAAATTAGACTGAGTTACATCACCTTAACTTTAACCGTAACTATAACTTTAACCGGTATGGAGTTTGACAGACTTTTGACGTTCCCGAGACAATCTTGGCCTTCACTCGTTGGGTTTTTATTGGCGGTCAAGCTGTAGATCCTGGCTACACAGGAGTTGCAGCGGTGGGAACGAGAGGTGGGAATAGTCCCGTAAACTTTTGAGTTTTGTTATAGTTAGACTAAGATGGTGCAACCCAGGGTTAGTGTATTACAAAATCCAAGACCAAAAAGCGTGGGCAAATCTGTAGACATTTTGTCCAACTTACTTTACCGCCACCTTGCGGCGCGCCCTCTACAACTGTTGTCACCCGTCTAGTCGCTGTGGGCATAATCAGCACCTACGAACGCAAAGTAAATGAAAACGAAACAAATGAACACAAATAAATGAAGGTTGATTCATATTGTACAGGTGGTAGTGTCGTATTAATTTGTTCTGAGATGTGATGTTAAGTATGACACTGAGATAATTTGACAAGTGGGTGGAATATAGGGTGTATTTAAAAGTGCGTAGATGATGTGAAAATAAGTATTGAATTTAAATAATGGTATTCTTTTTAGGCAGCATATAAGTTCGATTGCCATATTTGTCACCATTTGTAAAGTTGTCCAGCACTGGACAGTCCTAGCTATGACATTGTTAGGAGGGAGCTACTTTCAATTGAATTATTAGTTTCGATTTTGACGTTTGACAGAATCGTTTGAATATAGAAGTTGGATTTGACTTTTCATACCCACTAAGAAAAGTGCACTCTATTTATTTGAAGTAAAGGCTTAACTTCTTTTTGAACTGAAAGAACATTAAAATATGAACTAATAAATGGGCGAAAATTGTAGATGAACAATATGAATCAATTCTATGGGTACAGAAAATATGAATCAATTCTATGTGGACAAATATAATGGCCGTGAAAAATATTAATACGTGTGATGTACAATATTAATACATATTATGCCAGTTGCTATAAGACCTAGTTTTGTGTCTCACCATGTTGTCGATTTCGTTGGCAGAAATGAAGTTCTGCTCCTCCTTGAGGAAGTATTGCGATTTCGACCAGATGTTAAATATTTCTGCTACGTGGTTGTATAATTCTTCAGCCTCTGTAAGAGAAAAGAAGATATTAATAAAATTACTAAATGATGATGCTTTACTTCCTCTTGGTCTAAGATGTGTTTGCAGTAATAATTGGAAACCCTAAAAAGGCTGACATTAATGACTGAGTTTCTGTGCTTCTTCAGAGCACTGGCCTATACAGGGTGAAATTTTGTAATGCCACCTGGAGGGAAAGTAGGACTCTTTATAGGTACTATAGATAGAAAAAAAATCCAAAGAAAACATTCCTTTATTTTTGAAAAGAAATAGAACTGCATTCAAAGATTTCCAAAAATTTGCTAGCCTCACCCGGGAATCGAACCAAATAAAATCTGTTAAAAACACCCTGTATTTTTATTACATCGATCGTTAGGGTTAAGTATAAGGATGAAATCCCTCTAACAAACTTGATAAATCAAATGAAAGGAAAACCATGAAATCTTAAATTATTTTAATTATGTACAGAAAATTCTTTTTAAAAATAAAGGAATGTTTTCTTTCAGTAAAATTTTCTATCTACAGTATTAAGAGTACTTTCCCTCCAGGTAGCATTACAAAATTCCACCCTGTATTGTTTTCCCGAAACAATGAAAGGGTTGGGTTGGGATGTAGGACGTGTAAAAGTGTTCTATGCGCCCTTTTCCACAGAAAAACTGGACTGTCGTGTAATCACACAAGATTTGATTGATGATTTGAGATGACTTTTTTTTTGCACCGGGTAAGATTTTTTGCTTACCTGGAACGTTATTCCTCAGCCAATGGTTTCTCTGCAGGTCAACGTACTTGATGAGCAGAGGGTAGAAGGAGTAGATATCGCGGACCAACAGCTGCCAGTCTTCCTGGATTTGGGACTCCACTTGGGATGTGTCGTCGGTTGAAGACTGTAATATATAAACAGTGTTAATACATGAGAATAGCTATTTTCTTCGGAATCCACTTATTATGACTTTTATGTAGAACAAGGCAAGTGTTTGACCGCACTCGCAATCTATGACGTTACAGTACTATCTACATGAGGGTTTCTTAACTTTTTATGTATTCACATACCTCGTCTTACGATACTTTTTTAAAGTTGAAAATTGAGTTTGCATTTGACTTAATCACATCTGTCAAACTTCTAATATTTCAAGAATCACATAGTTCCAAAGTTACTATTGGAACAAATCCTTGCCTTTTTTACCAAGACAAAGAAGTAATTTTTACCAAGACGTTGCCTGTCGACCCAGAGTACTGTCATATGCCAGTCAATTATTATATCGACTGACGGTCTATGTACAGAACTTTCTATTATTCTATCAATACGGCCCGACGATCTGGCGAATATCGGAGGAAGCACTTTGATGCGGGCAGCGCAGGACCAATCGCTATGGAAATCCTTGAGAAAGACCATTGTCCAGTAGTGGATATCTTAGATTTAAACTAACGAACCTTGATGAACCCTCGCAAGCTCTCCTCCTTATGGAACATAGTATCGGTCCTCTTCCTGACTCTTTCAGCGAGAGGCAGGAAGGAATCCCTCAGCAGCTCCTCAGAACTGTTGATGATGATCTGCTACCGTGATAAAGCCTGCATCTCACCTGATGGAAAGTGATGATCAGGCCGAAGGTGGAAGCGAGCTTCATCCGGAATACTCAAAGTAGGAAACTGGCTATTTTACCTTGTAACTGCCGGAACACAACAATGCTGTTAACATTATTGTTGTGGCGACAGACTAAGGCTGCGTTGCTTCACCTTTTGACCGTAACTATAATGATAACCGGAGTTTTTTATATGGAGTTTGACAGATTTTTGACGTTTGTTAAAGTAAGATGGTGCAACCCAGCCTTAGATAAGATGGCGGCAGCCTGGCAACTAACCAGGCGAGAACAAGCCCTACCGCCTACCAAACCGAACAGAAATTTTGCCCCTGTTAGGAATCAAACCCGGGACCTCTGGGTGTGAGAGAGGTGGTCTTACTACTAGACCATAGAGGCAGTCTTCTTACCTTGATGAACCCTCGCAAGCTCTCCTCCTTATGGAACATAGTATCGGTCCTCTTCCTGACTCTTTCAGCGAGAGGCAGGAAGGAATCCCTCAACAACTCCTCAGAACTGTTGATGATGATCTGCTGGGTATACGTCGCGATGCGAGTCATCCATGGCGCGCTCTCGTTGCCGATGTTCTTCTTGATGAGTTTCAGAACGTTCTTGAGCAGTTGGTTCATATGTTCTGCTGTCACCATTGTGACGTGGTTTCTGAAATAACGTAAAAAAGTATAAAGACTAGCTTTTGCCAGTGTCTTAGCCCGCGTGAATATAAATATCGTTCTGTCACAGAAATATACCTCTTTCTATTTGTGAAAACTACGTGAATGTAGTCAGTTGGTTTTAAGTTTATCGCAAACAGATACCTAGACCTACTTAATGCCTCTTTTTTGAATCTATCTATCTATAACAGCCTTTAGGGGGTTCGTATTTGAACATAGGCCTCCTCTTCAACCCTCCACCAACTTCTGTCCCTTGCTACATGCATCCAGTTCACTCCAAGCTGCTTTTTGCCTTTTGTTGTAAAATGTCACAGAGACAAATGCTAACATAATTACTCTAAAATCCGTTTGGCTAGGGCATGGAGAGTTAAACCAAATTCTCCATTTGCTTCTACTCAATTAGATCCCATCAAAAACAATACTTGTCAAAAAAAACCAAGTCTCGCAACTCAGTTGTTCTACGGTAAAAAGTTGTGAGATCCATGTAATACCAAGAAAAAGCTACTTTAACGGTTTCATTATATAACAGTAAATATATATATTTAAATGTTCCTGTATCGCTAGTAATAAATTAAATATCGTTTTCAGATCGAAATGAGTATCGTTTTGAAGACTGGGTTTGTGAGTGTTACAATATCATTCCAACCACAAACCGTATTTAAAGGAAAGTTGTTGCTATTGGCTGGACATGTCCGAGATGTAGAAGAATTAAGAAGAAAACAAGGGCAGAGTTCAATAATTCACGCTCTCATCATAAGGCAAACATCTGTGCACAACAACTACTGTGACTCATTTTTGTACTACCACGTTGTATAGTCTAGTTATTTCCAAATTGTAAACGGCTATTAAACCAGCCCTATCGAAATACAGTCCACTCTTTTATTTAAGTTCCCAGTAGGACCCTATTCATGCGATTAATTAATGATATTAAAACGTATTACGTAGAATCGCTTTGCCATTGACAGGTACATCTGATGACAGAGCTTACATTATTTCTACTTTTGACCACCATGAGCGCTGCGATAGATTATGTTACCCCCACCTAGTACTTCGCACCCAGCGAATATTCTCGAAAACAGTGATAGGGTTGGGATTTAGGACGTGTAAAAGTGTTCTATGCGCCCTTTTCCACAGAAAAACTGGACTGTGATTACACAAGATTTGGTTGATGATTTGAGATGATTTTTTTTGCACTGAGTAAGATTTTTTGCTTACCTGGAACGTTATTCCTCAGCCAATGGTTTCTCTGCAGGTCGACGTACTTGATGAGCAGAGGGTAGAAGGAGTAGATATCACGGACCAACAGCTGCCAGTCTTCCTGGATTTGGGACTCCACTTGGGATGTGTCGTCGGTCGAGGACTGGAAGGTAATAAACAATGTACAGGAAGGCATAAAATTACATTGCAATATAGCACTTATTGTGACTGCTTAAGATAGTATTTAGCTACTTGATTTGCCGATGATACTCTACCATCTATGTTAGGGAGTCAAATTTAAACTAAGTTCGCACTTTTAAAATTTCAACAATCACACAGTTTCAAAGTTACTATTGGAACAAAGCCTTGCCTTTTTTTACCAAGACAAAGTAGTAATTTTTACCAAGACGTTGCCTGTCGACCCAGAGTACTGTCATATGCCAGTCAATTATTATATCGACTGACGGTCTATGTACAGAACTTTCTATTATTCTATCAATACGGCCCGACGATCAGGCGAATATCGGAGGAAGCACTTTGATGCGGGCAGCGCAGGACCAATCGCTATGGAAATCCTTGAGAAAGACCATTGTCCAGCAGTGGATATCTTAGATTTTAAGTAACGAACCTTGATGAACCCTCGCAAGCTCTCCTCCTTATGGAACATAGTATCGGTCCTCTTCCTGACTCTTTCAGCGAGAGGTAGGAAGGAATCCCTCAACAACTCCTCAGAACTGTTGATGATGATCTGCTACCGTGATAAAGCCTGCATCTCACCTGATGGAAAGTGATGATCAGGCCGAAGGTGGAAGCGAGCTTCATCCGGAATACTCAAAGTAGAAAACTGGCTATCTTACCTTGTAACTGCCGGAACACAACAATGCTGTTAACATTATTGTTGTGGCGACAGACTAAGGCTGCGTTGCTTCACCTTTTGACCGTAACTATAATGATAACCGGAGTTTTTTATATGGAGTTTGACAGATTTTTGACGTTTGTTAAAGTAAGATGGTGCAACCCAGCCTTAGATAAGATGGCGGCAGCCTGGCAACTCACCAGGCGAGAACAAGCCCTACCGCCTACCAAACCGAACAGAAATTAGGCCCCTGTTAGGAATCAAACCCGGGACCTCTGGGTGTGAGAGAGGTGGTCTTACTACTAGACCATAGAGGCAGTCTTCTTACCTTGATGAACCCTCGCAAGCTCTCCTCCTTATGGAACATAGTATCGGTCCTCTTCCGGACTCTTTCAGCGAGAGGCAGGAAGGAATCCCTCAGCAGCTCCTCAGAACTGTTGATGATGATCTGCTACCGTGATAAAGCCTGCATCTCACCTGATGGAAAGTGATGATCAGGCCGAAGGTGGAAGCGAGCTTCACCCGGAATCCTCAACCACAGAGGAACTGGCTATCTTACCTCTAACTGCCGGAACACAACAATGCTGTTAACATTATTGTTGTGGCGACAGACTTAGATAAGATGGTGACAGCCTGGCAACAACCCAGGCGAACTTTTGGACCCACTGGGAATCAAACCCGGGACCTCTGGGTGTGAGACAGGTGATCTTACTACTAGACCATAACGGCAGTCTAAAGTAGTCAATGCAATCTTCTTACCTTGATGAACCCTCGCAAGCTCTCCTCCTTATGGAACATAGTATCGGTCCTCTTCCTGACTCTTTCAGCTAAAGGCAGGAAGGAATCCCTTAGCAGCTCCTCAGAACTGTTGATGATGATCTGCTACCGTGATAAAGTCTGCATCTCACCTGATGGAAAGTGATGATCAGGCCGAAGGTGGAAGCGAGCTTCATCCGGAATACTCAAAGTAGGAAACTGGCTATTTTACCTTGTAACTGCCGGAACACAACAATGCTGTTAACATTATTGTTGTGGCGACAGACTAAGGCTGCGTTGCTTCACCTTTTGACCGTAACTATAATGATAACCGGAGTTTTTTATATGGAGTTTGACAGATTTTTGACGTTTGTTAAAGTAAGATGGTGCAACCCAGCCTTAGATAAGATGGCGGCAGCCTGGCAACTCACCAGGCGAGAACAAGCCCTACCGCCTACCAAACCGAACAGAAATTAGTCAGTCAGTGAGTGACAAAATTAAGTAACTTTGACCCGTTATAATTCCTAAACTACTGGTTCAAATTGAATGAAATTTTAAATATACCGTGTCTTTACAATGCCTGCATAGCTAATGAAAATTCAGCCTTCTAGTTTTATCCACAACGAAGTTACAGGCGGTCGAAAATGGCCTGAATTGCTTCGAGAAAAGGATGGTACGGCCGTGCCGCTTTTTTGCTCGACTTGGTGGGGGCACTGCCGTGCCCCCAGATTATTAGATTAGAGCCTTGATCTTGGATTAAACGACCTGTAGGATAGGATGTACGACGCGATAAGCTATTTATCACACCATTTTATCGATTTCACGCGCGTTTGCGCCTAAAATCGTCGATAAGATTTTATCACAGCGCACATCCTTTCCAGGCATATCATGAAAAATAATCTTATTTAAACTTACCCGCCAGTAGGGGTGACGTTGTCCGGTCCCTGCGCCCACCAAAATGGTAGATACGAGCACAGTAATGGCAACACCACGTCTATAATGTGGGGAGCCTCGTTGTAGGTCTTGTCTGACTCCACGAACTGGTCCACCTCGCTTAGGATTGTCTCTAATGTGGGCATGGATTGCTCCATTTTGGCCATGATGTCTGTAAAGATGAAATGTTTGTTTAGCCGTTATGACCGTAGGGAAAGAGTTATTTATTTAACAACGTTATCTAAATTATGTTTCGTTTTGATGAAATAAATTATCTTAAATCTTTTATTTAATGCCCGATAATTGGATATTTTTATTTTTGAGCTTCAGAGAACAATAACTTTAGTGTAGCAATGTAATCAGATCATCCAGTGATTTACAATGATAAAAAAGCTCGCTTCCACCTTGGGCCTGATCATCACTTACCATCAGGTGAGATACAGGCCAAGAGCTTCCTCGTTGTGGATAAAAAAAAGTATTTAATTTTATTTAAAGTTTATTTTGAACGGCTTTTAAATTGATGCGCTCTGCATAGGGCACCCGCTGAAAGTCAGGTCGGGATACGCGTGTGTTCCAATTTATACTGTGCGCCTTTTATGATACGAAAGTATGTACATTACCCACTTATTTGTTGTCTGTCTACGTTTATTGACTTTTGTATTTTACTATTTCATTTCTTGTTCCTGTCGTTTGTATTTTACCTTGAGCTTCCAGCGAATGGTCAGCGATGCGGTTGAGCAGTGAGAACTGATTGTGCTTGTTGAGATGCGGCTCCAAGAATGCGACGGGGAACGTCGAGCTGAACGCTCCTAAGCAGGAGCCCTGTGGTGGACAACCAACAACAATTAAACACTGTAGACACAACTTCTTTGGAAGAACTGGATTAGGTTTTTATGTTTATGGGTACATAAGGCTGATTTACACGTATTATAAAAGTAGTTAAATAGGCAACTACATTAACTTAGGTGGGCGGAGTTTGTCACATGACACGTCACACATCCTGCAAAAATGTTCTTGCAAAAAACGGGATGTCTCTGTGCGATAGAACCCTTATTCTTTGCCCTCGCCCATTAGAGTTTGGCTCTACTTATTTTGCTATACCTAATCGTCGTCTTAACTATCCTATAGAAAAGTGTGTATGGACCCTAAAGAGAACAAAACAACATACCAGAGCAGGCTTGTTCCTCTCGATTTCAGTCTTGAGGTACTTGCGGTCGTGGGTGAGAGTAGCATCAGTTCCCAGGGCATATAACGATCCCAGCATCTTGTACGAGGCCACTTGAATCTCGTCCACTGGAACAAGATGAGGGAATAAATAAATATGACGTAAATTGGCTATCCAATTTACGTTGTTACGTTGTCAATTTAAGTTACGTTGCTCAACTATTTGAGCAATAATTCCAAAATACAAATTCCATTAAAACAACACGGAACTTTTGCCCTGAAAACACAATTATTATTTTTATTGCAAATAATATTTTTTTATTCGAGGTTTTCTGATGATTTTTTAATTAGTTAAATAAATAGATACTAATATTTTATTTATTTACAGTTAAATCTCGTCTTCAACTAAATCTTTAACCCCATTATTAATAAAACTAGCGGCCCGCAACGGCTTTGCACGGTTGCAATAGAATTTTCTCTTCGATAATATGCATGTTTTATACCTATAAACATTCCTCTTGAATCATTCCATCTATTGAAAATCAGCGATAAACCTCCCTCTTGAATCACTGTATCTATTAAAAAAACCGCAATAAAATCCGTTAAGTTGTTCTAAAGATCTAAAAGTACATAGGGAAAGCGACTTTGTTTTATATTATGTAGTGAGAGTTACACCTAGGATGAACCATGGATTAAAATGACATTTCTATACTAAATGACAATTTAAGCCAGAGTTCTACTTTTATTAATAAGGGTTAAGAGATATAAAAAGTTTATCTCTATAAAGTTTTTTCCGAGCGAGCATGATGATAGGACATTAAAGTGACGTCATAGTTTGTTTTGTATTTCATTAAATTTGGTTTACCTTTGGATGTGGTAAGCTGCAGCCATAAAAAAAGGAAATCAATTTGTTTTATCGGTAAGTTTACAAATGGTACGCGCTAGTTGAAATGTTGTTTGGGACGTGTTATTACCAGGTCGTCTTGCTGCTAGCGCATATTGGTTTGGTAAATTATTCAGTATTATGTATAATATTTATAAGCTCATAAATAGTTGTCACTTCAACCTAATCCGTCCACTGCTGGACAAAGACCTCCTCTACAGAATTTTACAACGACCGGTCCTGCACTGCTTGCATCCAGCAGGACAGCAAGTGCTTCCAGTGACCTTCAACAAATCGTCTATCCACCGAGTGAAAAAAATAGCCAATGATTGTTACACGTTGTATATGGTCACTGGAGATGTCATATTTAGTACTTAAGCAATATGCAATAATATTTTGAACTAATGAAAAATATTTTCTCTAAACACTGGTAACGGTTAGAAGCTTAGGAGCATTCTTGCCGATGAGTATAAGATAGTACATTAAATTATCTTTTTGCAGGTCGTCAACAACAAAACTAGCATTCAAAATGACAAACACAAAACAGAAGAAGGCGTCATATTCGCAGAAGTCATCAAAAACATCACCAGAGTCAACAACGTGTTGCAAGAGCTGATAAAAAACTATGAAAAACTCCAAAAAATGTCCAAAGGGAACAGTTTGGAAACTGACTATTCGACAGATAGCGAAATTGATGAGGTATTTAAAAATAATAATTATAAAGATAGCAAAAGAAGACCGAGAAGTAAAAATGAACGTATAGAAGTAACTTATCCACCCACAAAAAGAAATTTCCCTGGCACAGAAATGTTAATGTCAGAAGAAGAACCTGAGATATCTACTGAAGAACCTAATTATAATGAAGTAATTAGTAATAGAACACCACCTATACAAAGTTTGCAGGCTGCTCAACCAGTAAAAACAAAAGATGAACAAGACACTGACTCAGATAATGATTTTAAAGGTAAAGATGGTGATCATATTGATCATAAACATAGTGATGAAGTTAAAGTACCAGATAAGGTTTTTTCCGACAATGTACACCTTAATACCACTACAGAAAAGGCGAAGTCTAATCGTAGTAAGAGTAACAATAGACATAAACATAAAAGAAATGATGGAGGTAAAACGTATTTAACAACAAAAGAAAACGTTCAAGGCAATGCGAGAAATGTTCAAAAAGTTGTGTACTCAGAAAGTTTTCAGCAAGGAAAAATCTGGGATGAAATTGTTAATAAGAAACCTATACAACTTAGGGCACATAAGTACATGCCGGTTGAAACGAAACGTGATATGAGGGGACAAGATGGCTTATTAAGTGCTGCAAGACCAAAGAAAACTGCCATAGTGATTGTATCGAAAAATAAAGTAAGTTAATTGTTTATCAAAACCAAAATCAAAAATATTTTATTCAATTTAAACCAGTATTTTGGCACTTATGAACGTTAAACTATTTTACTGTCAGTTAATAATTAACCATAGAAATTATCTTTATTTAGCCAGTATCTGAAGAATCGTCATTCTCTTTGACAGAAGAAGAAAAAGAAATCAATAAAGAAGAGTTTAAAAGCAGAATTTTGAGGATGGCATATGGTGATGCGTGCCTAAAAGTTGTGGTGAAGAAATGTTACAAGGTCAGTTTGGCTCATCATCATCATCATTTCAGCCATTGGACGTCCATTCTGCTGAAGATAGGCTTCCCCCAATGATTTCCATATTGACCAGGTTGGTAGCGGCTTACATCCAGCGCCTAACTGCTACCTTTATAAGGTCTTCGGTTCACCTTGTGGGTGAACGTTCTACCCTGCGCTTTCCGATACGTGGCCGGTTTGTTTAACCTCTGTAATGACTGTAGCATGAAAGATAGGTTTATTTACCGTCCACTTTTGAAACTGTCACTATGTTCAGCTGAAACTATACATTTTTGTTGCAAAATATCACCTATTATAAGTATTAAAGAGGACGCAGTGTATAGCTTGATGTGCTGTCTTCCTTTATGATGATTTAAAAAAAAGTATAATACCTCTAATGTCACAAATTCACAATTAAGATCAGTAAAGACCAAACATTTTTCTTTCTAACATTCATGTCAGTACCTATGCATGTGTACAACGTTAATTTTTTAACCCACTTATTATAGTAACTATTTTTACATTTTAGGCTTTGAAATTGGTGGGCAAGCAAGTGTGTAGAAATATCAAGTGTAAGAGCGATTTCAAAGAAAAGTACAACCAGCTTACAAGGCTGGGGTGTATAGGCCAGTTCCGTGTGAACGCCACTACGACCACAACCAACGAGCCTGAAGGGAACTACGAAAATAACGAAAACTACGATTATAACCAAGACTTTAGTAAGTTAACTTTGTTTCTGGCACGTTATTAGTTATAGGTCTGGCGCATAACTCAGCCTCAGCACAAAATATAACAGAAGGTAAGCTCAATACTAAGCGCGCTCGAGCTACGCACACATAGACACCGCTCACGTACGCGTTATCTGGGACTGTCTCGGACGAATGCGAGCGCGACTGACGTTCGCTTGAGTCACGCGTCGTTCCCGCGTTTGTGAAATTATTTTGTTTGTGTGAAAATGAGTGAACAACCTCAGGCAGGCATGGGAGCGGCACGGGAATGATGGTTTTGACGTCAGCTCTGTCACGTCATAATATGTTAAAAAATACCCCTCCCGTCCCGCAACCCTGACTGACTAAGTTAAGCACTAGATCTATAGTAATTTATATTGCACAAATCTAATAGTCTCGTTAGCCCCTCGTCAATCAGCCAAAAAGTACAAAGTAGGTAAAAAGTTCGCAACGCGTCTTTGTTACTCTTGGAATAAGGATGTGTTGTCAACTTTTTGGCCACCTTTGGTGTTACGAACTGACTGTAGCTGTTGTGGCGTCATTTATTCTCAAATCATTTATCATTTTAGCAATAGATCCAACAAGATCTGGATTGGAAGCTTGCTACCCACTGATGGAAACAAAAGTAAGTTTATTTTAAAAGAGTATTGCAAATGTTTCCTTTTATCATATTTCTCCCTGGACTACTCAACCTTCACTGGTTGGGTTTTTTCAAAGAGTGGTGGGATTAGCCACCTTAAAATTATAAATTCGTATCTAACTTTGCCTGTAGGTGTGTCATGTTACCATCAAAACTAAAGCTTTGACTTGGTATAGAGACAAATACTTCCATTTATTACAGGAGTTTATTTAATATAGTATCTATATATATAAAAGAAAGTCGTGTTAGTTACTCCACTTATAACTCAAGAACGGCTGAACCGATTTAGCTGAAAATTGTCAGGGAGGTAGTTTAGAGCCAGGAGAAGGACATAGGATACTTTTTATCCCGTTCGAAATAAAAAAAAAGTGCTTATTTATTACCATTAAGGCGGAACAAAGTTCGCCGGGTCAGCTAGTATTTTATGAAAATATCATGTTTCCTTCATTATTTACAGCATGTAACACTCCGTAATGAGACCCCGCACCAAACTTTGGACTTACGAGTGGACATTTTGCGCGATCGCTTCGAACGCGCGTGCCAGCAAGCGTCGCAAGCGAAATGCAACGACGCTTGCAAGTTCGCTTACCAAGGCGCTTGCGACGAGTACGAGTGTACCAAAGCGAAGAAAAAAGCCTTCGCTAAACGCTGCAAAGCACAATGCAAGGCTGCGTATATTATAAAGAAGGAAAAAGAGAAAGACAGCAGCGATTCTTCTAGCGATAGCGACAGCGAATCCGACAGTTCCGATAGCGATAGTGATGATTGGAAAGTATAATAACCACCAATGAGCGAGGCTTAGCGAAAACTTGCAGAAGTTGACTTCCGCAAGCTGTCACCACACCACTATGTAAATCCTGCAGAAGTTGGCTTGCCACAGCTATTTATAGTGGTGCAGCTTGCGGAAGTCAACTTCTGCAAGTTTTATTGCTAGTCTAAACCTCGCATTAGGCGTAAACATCATTGGAAATACGAAATAATTTAATAGTTTACTTTTGAAACAGCTGTTTTGTATGGAGTGTTTTAAGAAAAAAGTTAAAATATTTTTGCATTTTTTTGATATTAGACCGGCATTTAAAATGGACCACCATAATATTTCGTATAAATGATAAACAATTAGTTACGTATCTGAGTATTAACATTGCAGCAATAAAGAATACTATACAAAGTATGGTAGTGCAATTTAGCTGCCGTCAAATATACCATACTTTCCCCAATTAGGGGAGACCGAGGAGTGTTGTGACATTGTCGATTTTTGATAATCTATTTATCAGCTCGCTTGCAACAGCGCGCTCTGTCACAACTCTCCTCGGTCTCCCCCTTTTTTTTAAGTCGTGGTCGATGGGGACGGCAAGTGGGTTATGTGGGACTCTCCCCGCCTACCCACTAAAGGCGGGGCGTACCCACTAAAACCCGACGGTTTCCACCAGAGCCCAAAGAAACGGAGCCGCGAGTTATTGTCCTGGTTGGACATTCGTCCGCAGCTTCGCCTCAGGCTAGAGTCTCGCTCACGAGCGAGCGAGCTCGAGCTCTTCGAGGAAATCCTCGGTCTAACCTATCCTAGCCTGCATACTTATTTGAGTACTTACAAAGCAGATCAGCTCCATACTCGCAGTTGGCGAGATGGTCGAACTTGGCCGTCAAGATGGGAAGGACCACGCCGTTGATGTAGCCAAGTGAGGTTGAAGTCTTCAAGTGAGTGCCTCTGAGATGGGCGTATTTCCCCTGAAAATTCATTCATATTATGGTCATCAGGTCATTTAGTTTCCACTGCAGGACTGCGAACTTTTTAGATTTACCAGTATACCCTCAGATCATAGAAAGAGAATAGATATGAAGTCGCGCGTAACTACAACNGTTTAAGTTTCTGACACGTTATTAGTTATAGGTCTGGTGCATAACTCAGCCTCAGGCAGACATGGGAGCGGCACGGGGAGGATGGTCAGATAACTTTTAATATTAACTGAAGAATAAAACTTGTCATTTTGATATTTCCCATACTGAAACTGTCAAGTGCCAAACTTATTCTCCAGTTAAGTTATCCGACGATGGTAAAATCAGACCTAGTGGAAAATTTGGTGGTGAATGACAACACAACCTTATTACAATACGCGTTGCGAACTTTTTGGCTGCTTTGGGTATCACGAACTATTTGACACTGACTGTACCTTGATGTTTTCAATTTAATAATAATAACCTTGGACATTTTACATGGCGCCATCTCAAATCATTTATCATTTTAGCAATAGATCCAACAAGATCTGGATTGGAAGCCTGCTACCCACTGATGGAGACAAAAGTAAGTTTATTTTAAAAGAATATTCCCTTTTGGAACTACTCAACCCTAACTGGTTGGGTTTTATTGGAGGCCAATTTGTAGATCCTGGTTCTACATGAGTTGCAGTGGTAGAAAAGAGTGGTGGGATTAGCCACCTTAAAATTATAAATTCGTATCTAACTTTGCCTGTAGGTGTGTCATGTTACCATCAAAACTAAAGCTTTGACTTGGTATAGAGACAAATACTTCCATTTATTACAGGAGTTTATTTAATATAGTATCTATATATATAAAAGAAAGTCGTGTTAGTTACTCCACTTATAACTCAAGAACGGCTGAACCGATTTAGCTGAAAATTGTCAGGGAGGTAGTTTAGAGCCAGGAGAAGGACATAGGATACTTTTTATCCCGTTCGAAATAAAAAAAAAAAGTGCTTATTTATTACCATTAAGGCGGAACAAAGTTCGCCGGGTCAGCTAGTATTTTATGAAAATATCATGTTTCCTTCATCATTTACAGCATGTAACACTCCGTAACGAGACCCCGCACCAAACTTTGGACTTACGAGTGGACATTTTGCGCGATCGCTTCGAACGCGCGTGCCAGCAAGCTTCGCGAGCGAAATGCAATGACGCTTGCAAGTTCGCTTACCAAGGCGCTTGCGACGAGTACGAGTGTACCAAAGCGAAGAAGAAAGCCTTCGCTAAACGCTGCAAAGCACAATGCAAGGCTGCGTATATTATAAAGAAGGAAAAAGAGAAAGACAGCAGCGAATCTTCTAGCGATAGCGACAGCGAATCCGACAGTTCCGATAGCGATAGTGATGATTGGAAAGTATAATAACCACCATTGAGCGAGGCTTAGCGAAAACTTGCAGAAGTTGACTTCCGCAAGCTGTCATCACACCACTATGTAAATCTTGCAGAAGCTGGCTTGCCACAGCTATTTATAGTGGTGCAGCTTGCGGAAGTCAACTTCTGCAAGTTTTATTGCTAGTCTAAACCTCGCATTAGGCCAGCGGTTCCCAAACTTATTTTGTCTACTGCCCATTTTGAGAATAAATTCGTTTTTAGCGCCCCCATTTTTGTAGTCAAGAGTCGAGTGCTCAGTCGGTGTCTAAGAGTCCTCCTAGTAGATGATATTATAAATCGCCTCCCAAGCCTCTATACAATGCCCCGATTTTTTCCGGGGTCTCTTACAGCCCCCTTTTAAGCCTGCAGCGCCCACAAGGGGGCGTTATTGCCCACTTTGGGAAACGCATTAGGCGTTAAACATTATTGGAAATACGAAATTTCATAGTTTAGTTTTGAAACTGCTGTTTTGTATGGAGTGTTTTAAGAAAAAAGTTCAAATATGTGTGCCTTTTTTGTTATCAAATCGAACCAACATTTTCTGTGTAGATTGAGACGATAGTACATAGTCCATGAATGAAAAAAGAGTTGTTTGCAGATTGATTCTTCTGCATTCTGTTCTTCACGGAAATGACCAATGTTATTTAAGACGAACTGTTTTATTATTTAGATTGCAAACTGGGGTAAGATAAAATCCTATAGTAGTAGGTATTATTATATCGATCTACACAGTAATATTTATCATCTCAAATCGATAAAGTTTCTCGATAAATGAAGACATGTATGGATGAAGGGGATTTATGTCGCATTTTGGATTTTTCGCTGTTCTATGATTAAGGATTAGTATTTTGAGGTTTAAAACAGCTTGTATCCATATAACACCTTTATCGAAGCATAGAATAGCGAAAAATCCGAAATGCGACATATCACCTTAATCCATTCATGTCTTCAATTATATCCTACCTTGCAGACGTATTAGAGTACTTACAAAGCAGATCAGCTCCATACTCGCAGTTGGCCAGATGGTCGAACTTGGCCGTGAGGATGGGCAGGACCACGCCGTTGATGTAGCCAAGTGAGGTTGAAGTCTTCAGGTGAGTGCCTCTAAGATGGGCGTATTTCCCCTGTAAATTCACAAATAGGTTGGCGGGTTACATTTAAAGGGTTTCAGTGCAATGGGACGTATTAAAAACAGACGAGATGTTTTGTGAGAAACTCCAAATTTTGCGGACACTTTTGTCTAAAACTAGACCGAAAAACGAATTGACCAAAGTGGATTTAAGAAACTATCGATTCACTAGACATATTTTACTTTGCGTCAAAGATCGTAAAACAAGAATAAAAAAGACATATTAATTACTAGCTTTCCGCCCGCGGCTTCGCCCGCGTGGAATTTTGTCTGTCACAGAAAAACTTTATCGCGCGCGTCCCTGTTTCAAAAACCGGGATAAAAACTATCCTATGTTCTTTCCCGGGACTCAAACTATCTCTATGCCAAATTTCATCAAAATCGGTTGCGAGGTTTAAGCGGGAAAGCGTAACAGACAGACAGACAGAGTTACTTTCGCATTTATAATATTAGTTGGGATGGGATGTCTTTTAGAAGTAAGAGTAAGAGTGTTTTTCTATTGAGATTTTAGAGCCAAAGCAGCATACGAGTGGTGCGGTGGCGCCGCGTCGCGCGATACGGCGAAATCTTTGCGGTGCGGCACCGCAACGCATTTTATTTCTTTGGCTTTTACGTATACGCTTTCAAAATTATATAAATCCTAGCTTTCCGCCCGCGGCTTCGCCCGCGTGGAATTTTGTCTGTCACAGAAAAACTTTATCGCGCGCGTCCCTGTTTCAAAAACCGGGATAAAAACTATCCTATGTCCTTTCCCGGGACTCAAACTATCTCTATGCCAAATTTCATCAAAATCGGTTCAGTGGTTTAGACGTGAAAGCGAGACAGACAGAGTTACTTTCGAATTTATAATATTAGTATAGATGAGTACAGATGGCAAGTACTGAGTATACTCAGTCATCAGAACCTACCTCCTGCAAGTTGAGTATGGTATGCCCCAAATCATCAGCGACATTGTTGAAGAACGTCAACATGGATGTCCGGATAAACTCCGGACAGTTCTTCACCAGAGACTTGGCGTCGATGCCCTTCACTAGCACTTGGAGACAGCGGACGGTGATCCGGACGTCCGGCCCGAAGGCTGCCAATCTGAGGGGAAATATTAATCAATAAATTCATCATCATAATTATTTTTTTTAACATTAACTATAAACTTGTATAATCTGGGACTATGGCTCATAAGACTAGACATCATCATCATCATCATTTCAGGCACAGGACGTCCATAGGCCTCCCTCAATGATTTCCATATCACCCGGTTGGTAGCGGCCTGCAGCTATCTGCTACCTTTATGGGAAGTCCACCTTGTGGGTTGGGTGGACGTCCCACGCTGCGTTTTCCGGTAAATGGCCTCTACTCCAGAACCTTGCTGCCCCATCGGCCGTCAGTTCAGCGTACTATGTACCCGGCCTATTGCCACTTCAGCTTGCTAATCCGTCGGGCAATGTCAGTGACTTTAGTTCGTTTACGGATCTCCTTATTTCTGATTTGATCTCGTAAAGAAACAATAAACAATAGAGTTCTAACTTCAGTTGTTAAAAAAATAACTAACTAAAACTTGAAGGCATTTACCTCGACCTCAGCAAGCTAGCCAGCTTGCAGAAGAGAGCTGCAACCATTTCTTTCTCTTTCAAACTTGCCGCACCGACGTTGTTGGTCGCCGTCGCCACCGCTATGAAGTAGTTGCGGTGTGTCGAGAAATATTTCTCCATTAGGGGCAAGACCACCTGGATAGAAGAAGGAAGTTTAATACTTTTGGTTCAGTAGATTAAATGCCAAAATCAAGCTTATAGCTGCATATGTATAGGAGGAATTTTAGCGTGTGCTGTAGACTTTTCAGTGATGACACTTTTCGTTTCTATAATAATATGTGTAGAGAAGTATTTGGCAAGACACACAATGAAGAAGGAACTATAATCCTTATGATTCAGTAGACCACACGCCAAAATCAATGTTTATGATTGTAACTGGTGATGTTAAGTGATGATTTTGTTTCTAAATGGGCAGCATGGCAGTACTTAGATTAGTGTTTTATACAACAGTAAATCTGAAATTAGGCTTACAATGCTAGATTAAATCGGATGAAAATAAAGCTCTATTTGAGGTGATACTTATTTTGTTTATCCTTAAACTATTATCTTACGATTCAACGCAACGATCGATATGAACCTAAGTAATTTCACTATTTTTGAGCTGATAGTCTTTTTCTTTCTTCAGCAAATGGAAATGTTTTTTATGTACTTATTTTAATGTTAGTGAGAGATATTCTTACTACTTACAATCTAATGTCAATGTTTAAGTAAGCATCTCATTATGAAGTATAATGTTTTATGTTCTTATGATATAATAGATAATTATGTAGTACATCTAAAATGTACGCATGAATATTATGAAAGTACAACTAATCATGACAATCAGGCACCAAGTACCTTTTTGACATATTTTAGCTCAGCCTTGCATTGCTTGTAATTTAAAAAGAAACACATATAATACACAAAATACGCATAAAAGAAATGTTAAAATAAATTAAGGGTTTAGGTTTGTTCCATTAGCATTCGAAACACTACAACCCGGTCGAATTAAATGGCGGCCGTGACGTCACATTGACGCTCTTGTACGGATGGGGCGAACGCGGGTGAGTGCGAGGGAGAGTCGTATTCCAGCAAAGTGCGCAGTTAGCTCGCTTGGGTTGTAATTGTGTTTTGAAACCTTTCCTTAAAGATACTGCGACTATAATTTTAGTAAGAGAAATTATGAAATAAATATACCTATTCATAATTAACTTTAAAAAAAAATAAAACCGACTTGAAATGCGTGAACACAAAAAAAAAACTAAAAATTAAAAAAAATTGCGTATAAAAAAGTTCATCCCCAATTTTCCACCCTTGGGGGTGAAATATTTTCTTCAAATTCGCATGAAACCACCCTTTTGATAATACCTATTCAACAAAAAAATAATCGTTCAAATTGATTTATAATCGGCGGAGATATTGCGTATAAAAAAGTTCATCCCCAATTTTCCACCCTTGGGGGTTGTTTTTTCTATTATTAAATTTAAATGGGACCACCCTTGAGGTATTAACTATACGCCGAAAAAAGATTTGTTCAAATCGGTTCATAATTGGCGGAGTTATCGCGTAACAAACATAGAAAAAAAAAACATACGGGTCGAATTGAGAACCTCCTCCTTTTTTGAAGTCGGTTGAAAAAGGAACTTACCTTTGAAAAGAACTTAATATCCCTCGTGCTAGTCTTAAAACTGCTTCTTCTACTAAACGTAGTGGACGGTTTCAACAGCTTCATATTGATCGTAGCTCTGTCTATATACTGAATCAATTTCTCCAGCAACGAGTAAGCGAATCTGAGCTCTATTGCCACCCCAGTAGTGGTCTGTTCTGTGTCGCTGGGCGACGATTTGCTGGGCCTGTGAAGCTTGTAGCCCTGGTATTGTAGGTACTTGAGGAACTCTTGGGAACGTTCTCGGTCCTTTTTCTTTTCTTTGTCGGTTAGAAGGTCGTATGGGACTAGTTGAGGGTGGATGCCACCTGGTGGGATAAATAGAAACGATATTATAATGAAAAATTAAGGCTGTCGTTTTTATACTTAACAGTTGGCACCACTGGCGAGTGATAGCACCTTACTCTACAGTGGCGCCATCCTGATTATGCAAATGCAACAGTACTCCTACAGTTCAGTACTCTCTAGTTTACGCTACTGTCATACATAACCAAGCGAATGACGGGACCTTATTCTACAGTGGTGCCCTCTGGCTATCGTATTTGCCCTCACCAGTTATAATGAGCTAAAGACATGGTAGTCTCACCAGTCTATAAATGAATCTTAGAGATGTGGCAACAATTAGGTTAGCCTAAAACCCGATTCTCCTGTAAATTTTTTTAGTAATCTATTATTGATTTGAACTAAAAGATTTGAACTAAAACTATAACTAAACAGTTGATTGAAAACTAATTAATATTTCAAGCCTAAAATGAAGTATTGGCCAGCGTGGGAAGTGTAGGCCAACTCCTCCATTTGCCTTTGCTAAATTGGAGATCAGTCGTGTTCCTGAAAGATCTCACACCTCAGCTACATTACTCGCTTCGATGAAATACTGAAGATAGCCAAGTGTGTAGTCAGACACTTCGTGTACAAACTTCGGAACGCTTTGACTTGGGCTACAATCGAAAATCGTACGAGGCAAGGTGAGGTTGCTCGAAGTAAAGTACTTCGGCAAACTTCGCGAGTACTGTAGCTGAGGTATTACTCGGCCGTTTGGTGTAGTGGTTCGAAACGGACTACTATTCCGGAGGTAGCGGGTTCGATTCCCGCACAGTACAAACATTTGTGTGCATGAACATATTTGTTTGTATTGGACTGGGTGTTTTCTATGTATAATAAGTATGTATTTACAAAAAAAAAAAGTATTTAAGTATGTTTATATCCGTTGTCTAGTACCCATAGTACAAGCTTTGCTTAGTTTGGGACTAGAAGCGCAGTGTAAAATGTCTAAGGATATTTATTATTATTATTATTTATTATTATTACGTGACAATGAAATAGTTTCTTACCACCATTGGTGACCAGTTCTTCCTTTTTCTTCTTCGCCCAGATGTCGTGAGCGTTCTCGGCCAGTCGTTCAGCCATGTTCTGCATCTCTCTTGACAGCGTCAGATTGGTCATATCGACCGGGTGAGGGTTGTAGTTGAACGGAGTTGCTGAGTCCGTCTGTTTTGAGGAACAAAATGAGGTTTTGAAAGTCATACATTACAGCAATTAAGCAGTCTTAGAAATATATTTTTTGTTGCAATTCGGCCTCTTTAAGGTTCTTTTATATGCCTTAGTATGATTTTAACTATGTCACTTCATAATAACGATGGATATTATTACTAAGAAGCACCTTAAGAAACTCGGTCAGTCGATTTTTTCAGTCTTATTTTCTAGGGAAGCACTTATTGTAAGTTAAATAAGTCATTTATTTGTTGCAATCAAGCTTTTTAAAAGCGCTTTTATGACCCAGATTCATTTTAACTCAGTCACTTCACAATAAGGTAGGCCATTGCTAAGAAGCTGCGCAAGAAACTGTCAGCTTTTTCTTAATATAGTCATTTATACAATACTAGCGGCCGCCCGCGACTTCGTACGCGTGAATCCCGTTTTTCCCGCTAATTCCCGTTCCCGTGGGAATTTCGGAAATTCCTTTCTTAGTGCACCTCTACGGTACCTAAGCTACGTCCCTTCCAAATTTCAAGTGCCTACGTTTAGCCGTTTAGGCTGTGCGTTGATCTGTCAGTCAGTCAGTCAGTTTCTCCTTTTATATATTTAGATGCATTGTGTAAAATTTGGATTTAGAGTTAGTAAAATTCTATCTAACATTTATTTTATTAAAATACCTCATGGTCATAATATCACAACGATTGTACAGATTTTATTCTACTTCTACTAAACAAACCAGAAAACTATTTTTCAAAGAACATTTTTTCGTTAATTGAAATAGTACAAGAAAAATCTAAATACAGATAAAAGGCAGCATCATACAAAAATGATACAACTCAAAAATTCACCAAAATTGCGAAATGTGTCAAAAAAAGGAAGGCTAATTAGTCACAAAGATAAAATAAGTGCAGATAGGTAATATAAGCAGTGTTGTGCATAGATAATACCAAATTGGTATTATTGAACTTACCACTATGTCTGGCGGGCGCTGTAGGGATGCGGGGATATGGAAACAACATACATCATTAGGGTTACACCACATTCGTGAGCTACATATACAAACATACGTGAACATTATTTTATCTAGGACAATTTCATAACATTCATAACGAAGTGTATAGTTACGTGCAAAAATGTGTATACATTTTCATGAATTTTAAACCTTATTACAGGCTACAGAGGAATTAATTCAATTCTGTATACATGTTTTTGCTCGTGACTGTACAAGGCTAAAGCTACATAACAGTTGATCATTTAGACATCACGTGACCGCTACCAAACCAATAAATAAGATAATGTAATTTGTAAAAACCATAAATTATGATTATAAAAAACAATTACTTGTGGTGGACTTCGTCCATTCTGGTACGATCTTTGCTATATGTACATTGTACATATATTTTTTGAGTTTAGTGTAACGTTAGCCTTACTTTGAGAAAAAATAACATTTAAGGAAAAATCTAGTTATATGCTTTTTATCATGCACCATTAAGCTAGGAAGTGACATCGATGTGAAAGAGAGAAGATTGGTGGCCAGATTAACAAGGTATCATGATTATTACGATACGACTATAAAAAGTCGAAATATTTGAGTTGATACCCTGTTCATCCAAAACAACGAAAAGTACGTATGAAAACATTATTGACAAATATAAAAGGTCATTCATAGAAACATCGATAAATCTAATTAATTAAAAAGAATTAAGGGCAAAACAGTGAGTTATTTAAATGGTAGAAAAGTTTAAAGTTACCTTTTCCACTTCGTCCTGATAGCCAAAGTTTATAGCAAAATAAATTACAAATCGATATCTTGCATCAAAACTAACATAAATTATTAGAGATCTCTATTGTTAGTGAAATAAGAATTGTTTTAAAATATGTACTTATATTTTTAATTAAACAACCTTTTGGCCTGCAAACCATAATACCTAACAGGTTTCAAAATGAGTTTCGACTTCTTGGTATTTACTTTATGAGAATGGTCATGTCTTGAACACAACATTGCAAACATTTCTTTAACATTTGACGCACAATAAATGTACTTTATGTACACGAAAATACGTATCTTTATTCATTGAAGTCAATTTTTTTTACCTACACAGTAACAACTGAACCGGGACAAACTATACTCACGCCTCCAGACTTTGACTGCCTCCTCATAGAACTGCGGTTGGTGCTAGGAATGTCCACTTCTGAATGTTCCACCGACCAGCCGATGGCTAGCAGAGCCTTGAGGGACTCACGCACTGGTTCTTTGTAGCGCTCCTTCTCCTGTTATAATGATCAATTTGTTAATATTACGTTACTACTTGTAAAGATATTAGGCTTAACACAGAGGCGTCTTCATCATCATCATTTCAGCCACAGGACGTCTACTGCCGAACATAAGCTTCAAAGAACAAGTTGTATCCGTATTTTGGCCTCTCGACCGTTTCGTACCCAGCAAAGTTTGGCTACGAAATGGTCCTAAGGCGTATTTTGGGAAAGACATGAAAGGGAAAAAGAGAGAGAAGAGAAAGACAAAGAAAGAAGAGAGAGAGGGGAAGAAGAGAGACTCCCATCACTGCAAATCCTGTATAGCCAGGATCTACAGCTTGGCCTCCAATGAAACCCACAACCAGTGTAGGTTGACTTGGTCAGTTACTAGTTCTGGACTCCCGGAGATAGTTAACTAACAGAGAAAGAGGGAAAAAAGAGAGAGAGAGAGAGAGATAATGCATTGGGAAGTGTATACTTACATAGTCATTTAGCATGTTGTACGGCTTCAAGCGAGGATGCGCCTTTTGACTGTCGGACCACGACTCGCCGTACACCCAACCGTTTTCGATTTTCCTATAAATAACCAATAGTCAATAGGTATTTTTGCAAGTTTTTGATAAGTATTTACATTGCCAGAAGCCTTGCCAAAGACACGGGTTTGATTGTGAGTGGAAGTTGCATTGTAATTTAAATGGCTCTCATGCTGCACGCACGGATAATATTGAAATATATTTTTTAAAAACACTAAAGATTAATCAAAACAAAAATTACTTATATCACCTTATTTTTGAGCCTCAAAAAACCACAAATCTGCAAATATATCATAATAATATTTCTTTCAAGACGACGTTAGGAACCGGTCGTTAATCGTGCGTTTGCAAGTGATTTTTATTCCAACGAAGTTCTCATCCAATTTTTGGGGTCCGATCCGTATGTTTGGTACACGACTAACATCCGTCTCAAAACGTAATTATACAGCAAATGGAGCTCTATTTATTTAGTTTTAAGACCTATATGTTTACCCAAAATTGTGCAAATAAATATTTGAATTTGAACGTCTAATTTCAAACTTTACGCTTTTCTATTTAAAGCGTTCTTCTATAAACCTACCTGGAAGCCCAAGCGTCGTGGTAGTGTTCCGAGAACTTCTGGACGATGGTGTTGAGATCATTGTTGAGAGCCACCGATGACGTGTTGATGGGCTGAGGGTCGTATTGGGGGTTGTCGGGACCACCTGGAATATACACATGCTTTGAATCTATCTAAAGCCTGGTCCGTGAGCACGTAGAATCCCGTCCAATGACCCCAAGCTACCCATCCTTATCGCTCGCGCGTAATTATATTGCTGTCGCGACTGTGCGACGCGCGCCCGCAGTGAGTGTGCGAGCGCGACAGCAACATAATTACGTGCGAGCGACAAGGATGGGCAGCTTGGGGTCATTGGACGGGATTCTACGTGCTCACAGCTTACACAGCACAAGCTTTAGTTGTAATGCAGTCAAGATGTTTGTACAAAGTTTGGAAGTTACTTAGTATTTTTCGCAAATGCAACTTCGTTACAAATATTGAAAATGTTATTTGAACAGTTATTGCAAAGATAGCGCATATAATGGACGACAGTTTCATTGATAACTCATGTGTAGCAACAGAAAGTTGAACGACTTTTCAGACAGTTAAAATATTTGCACAAATATGTACGATAACATTGTCTTGTGCATTTTCACAAACATCTTGACACGTGACTGTGATCGGCATTTTATAATAATTTAGTGAATTTGACATTAAACAAAAAATTAAGTAGCGAAATGAATATTTTTTTATTTCACTTACCAGTGGCCTGTGTTTCTTTTCCATAGAACTCATCGTCGTAGTTTTTAGATAGTGAGTAGTCAGGTGGCAACGCACATCCTGTAAAAAAAGGAAGAATTAATATTTAATTTATATTTTAGTAGTTTTCATTACATTAAATAATACATAGTCAGTCATCCTTGTTCTTTCATTTACCCACAAGACGTCCATTGCTGAATATAGGCCTCCCCCAATGATTTCCACATCACCCGGTTGGTAGCGGCCTGCATCCAGCGCCTTCCTGCTACCTTTATGAGGTCGTCGGTCCACCTTGTGGGTCTTCAAACTCACCAATAGCAATGAGACACGGCAGAGCCTTCCCAAACAGCTCCGGTTCGTAGTCCATCTTGCTGAGCGAGTCGAAGATGTTTGAGAACAGCATCATGGTCAGCCGCTTCTCTTCGTCTGAAGAGGCGCCGTAGATTCCCTGTCCTCCTGTGCTGCCGTAGTATTTGGCGCAACGTTCGTAGTGGAGGGTTAGCAGCTGAAATCAAGATAAAACTGTCTTTACTCTTATTTATTTTTTGAATTAGTATTTACAGGTCAGATTTTGTTCTTAAAGAGCTTTTACACATTTCAATTTACTTTCTTCTTTTGGTAAATGCGCAGAAGAAAATGTTTAGTTCTGTAATTCGACCAAGAGATGGCGCTGTCTCGTTTTGTTCTACTTCCCAGTATCGTACGAATTTTTCGTTTTTGCAAAGTTTGCCAGCTGAAGTTAACGGAATCCTAAAAATACAAGTAATACACTAATAAATCTAGAAAACGATCGTAACCTATTCATTGTATGAAACTTATCCGCACCGTAACGTAAACGCCTCGCCTCGCGATTGATACCTTTTCAAGTTGATAAATCTGCTATGAGCGTTACTTACCCTTAAAGCTACAGTGGTATACTCGGACAGCCGGGAGACATCCACAGTGAGTTTCCTCAGCAGTTTCAACAGCATAGACGGCTGCATCGCTGACGTCAGCGCCACTAAGAAGTCCGACACCGCCTCACGCTGGCCTTTGGTTAGCATACGGTTTTTGGATAGCCTGGAGAAAGAATAGTTTCGATTAAAAAACGATGAAAAAACTTAACCCACTTCTCGCTCCCTTGAAATTCGACTAGTGATTGGGTTTGTTCCAAAAATTCAATTTATATTTCGGTATCAATTCCGGTGTATAAACAATTAAACCCCTATGGGTTTTGTTGAGGCTTAATTTTATTTTGTTCCAATAGAAAACAAATTAAGTTTTAGTAATGACCAGAAATGGAAATCAATCCCACAATCGTTTCCATTACTATTCATGTGTAATCAGGATTAATCACTTGATTGTCGAGATAATATCAAACCAGTGAAAGCCAAGTTCATCCCAGAGGAAAATTAAGCTGTCATTGGACTCACTACGAAAATAATCATAAGACAATAGGTGAAGTTTAAATAATTATGTACGAGTCTCGACTTTCCTCTAGTGAAAATGTACTTTGTACCTATGATAATGACGAATAAATTTCATTTTAATTTAAAAAAAAGGGGATGAAAGATGACTAAAAAGGTAGCTATTCTTTCTCATAGTGGTGCTCATTTACCACACGATAAAATATTCTTCATTTTAGAGCTGCCAAAAGCTAACGATACTATTCAATCGATTAACAATCGATACTTACCGATATACAGTGTGTAACGTAGCGTCCAACAGACTGGCGTAGTTCTCGGCTTCGTTGTAGAAGTTGGCGTGCTTGATCAGCAGCGGCAGGATCGAGTTGCCGATGTAACGATTCATCGATAAAGCCATATCCGATTCGCAGCCGTCGTTCTGCAGAACAAAGTAAGTAGTATAAACAGTAAGAAAAGTAGGCTTATTTTCTTTTATTTGCTTTAAAATTAATAATTAGGTATTCCATCTGACTTTGAAAAGCAGGACCTACAAGTTACGACATACATGGGTATTATTTTTATACAAAAGGGATATGGAGACCTGATGTCCACATATTTATCCATTAGTCATCACGGTTTTTATACTTGATCAAATAATAGGATTGATTTATTGCTTGAATACAACATTTTTTCCCAAGAGACAGCATAACTTTCTTATAGGGATTTTTATATTGGTCTTGTAAAAAAATTCCATATGCGATTAGCTGTAAATGACTAAGTAGATATAATTTAAGTTTTCATTATTTGTATTGGTTGCCGATAGTAGGTAGGTATTCCGAAAAAAATAATAGTAGTAGAATCCTTTTTGTTTGATCAACTATAATAAAACATCCTGTATGTATAGTTGTACAAAAAGGAGAAGTAACAACGTTACCCTGTCCAGCATAGTGGCTGCCCTCAGGTCAGGCAGGAAAGCTTCTTCTAGCAGTCGATAGAAGAGTTCTTGCGTCTCTATCCCGTAGACTCGCTCTAAGAATAGACCCACGCTCTGCTTGTGACCGGGGATCAGGCCTGAAGGCATGTCTGTAGGGAGAAACAAGAATAATAATAATAACAACAAATACACTATAACGTCACCACGAAAGACAAAGTCAAGACAAGTCCAATTATGGACATAAACCGACCGACATACAGCCCGCTTTTTCACCCAGCCACTGCCTAGTCTTCAGCCGAGCTAGAATGCGCGCCATGATAAAATATTATTCCAATGTAATCGTGCGAGATCGATAAAATGCTTTGATGGAAGTTTATCGCGGCGTGCATCCTTACCTTGCCGTAACACAGTCTTGTACTAGTACGGAAGGTAAAGGATTGTGTTTCTGTACCTACCTACATTTTCCTAATAAAATTATATTGCTTTAAAATTAGTTTTAAGTTAAATAAGAGATACAGTTAGTTATTTAACTATTTTTCGGTTTGTACAAATTGTAACATTATGCACAATAAACTTATTTGTATCCTAGGCCTATAGGTAGTTGATCTAATGAATTTATAGATATATTGAAGTTGTGGTCTCTGGATAGGTTTACGATGCGTTATTAAAAGAAACCTACTAAGGAGAAAGATGTTTTTCTGTGAAAGACAAAATTTCACGCGGGCGAAGTCGTGGGCGGAAAGCTAGTATACAATATATCAAACACGTAAAATATTAAGCTTAATTGCACTATCACCTTAAGGTATACACAGCTTGCAAGAAATGTAAGTTGCTACTTAGTGACACTAAATGGTATGATAAAAGTTACTTTAGTAGTTAGTTTTTTTTTTCTAATTACCTGATTTAGGTCTCTCTTCTCCGGCAGCCGGGTTGTTCAGCGTGAAGCGGAGACTGAGCACGCCTTGCAGGTCTTCCAGCGGCACCAGAGAGCGCAAGATGGCTCGCGCTCGGAGGGATTCGTTCTTGCCCTGTTATTAATAGACAAGTTGGTTAGACAAACCAAAAATAGTTAAACAAAAAAGTTAAACGCGCTTTAAACTCGTTTACTCGTTTGGATGCGTTCTTGACCGCAGAACGCATGCACTCAAAGTGATTAAAGTGAACGCAGCCCGCATTAAGTATGACAATATTTATTTATTCTTTCATGTCATATTCTGTNTGGTATCGTGGGGGCCGCGCGGCCCCCACGCATGACGTTTTCTTTGATTTCTAAGAAGCTACGCATCGTGGTCAGCCAAAATTTTTGGTATTCTCATTTCGGCGCTACTCGCGTCTGGTGCAGGCGTTTCAGCACTGTATCATTCACCAGGACGAAGACATGCACGTGTTGGGGTCCGCGCGGCCCCCACAATACCAGTTACGTTAGTTTTTTTTTCATGGCAATTTTTATTTGTTTTTTTTTTTTTGCAGTATTGATGGCTTATTAGTGATAAAACAATAGAAGATACCTAGAACGAAGTTTTTTATTCCAAATTATTGATTAGTAGCATGTCAGAAGAATGATATAGTGATAATAAAATTATAGGTCATTGTGACGACCCAATAACCAATATTCGGTCAATAATGAGAATACTGCTTCTGATTTTCTAGTTTTTTCTTCAGAGAGTGAAAATGAAGATGTTGTAGGACCTAGTTAATCCAGCTACTATGAAAAAATAAGTACAAGTGGTCTGAAAATCCACCAGCAACTGCTAATGTTTGTCAACATAATATTTATGTTTTGATTTTTATAAAATGCTTATTATTTTTATTAAACATTACATTAAAACGTTATTTATTGTTAAGTTCACATTATTATGGATTAATAAAAATAATAATATTTTTGATTATAACTTTCTAAACGTAAGTTTCATAGATATTTGTAACGTTACAAAAATATTACGTAAAAAGTTGTTACTATTATGTAATGTCTTGAAGTATATAAGTAAGAAGATTTAATACAATAAAAACTTAATGATTACATAGAAAAAGCCTGACATATATCATTTATGAGCATTTATTCAAGTATATAGGTAAAACATGCTTGCTAGAAGCAAACATAGTATAGGGGCCGCGCGGCCCCCACGATACCAGTTACGTATGTCCAATTTACGATACCAGTTAAGGGTTAAAACCCGTATCAAAAACCGTTTTATTTATGACCAAAATTACTAAGAAGTTATTATAATATGTGCTGTTTCTCAAAAATCTTTGAAAGCATAATCTACAAATACATTAATCTACACCTAAAACCTATAATAAATCACAGACAATATGGTTTTNTTACGAAAAAACTACATGCTATATTTCCCAAACTGGCACACTGCCTAATTATATCTAACATTACCTTTCACCTAAAAAATATTTCACCAAGTTATCTCTAATAGCGACGAAGCAGGATTTTTTTTAACTTCAAATGCGATTTCCCAAAAATCACCATTTTCGACTTAACTCCGTTTTCACTGGGGGTACAGAATTAACCTTTAATTACTGATAAAAACATATTTTAATAAAATTAATAGTAATAAAACAAGCGATTTTTTTTCACAATTTCTGTTTAAAAAAATACCTTTCGATAGGGTATGTTATTTTGATGAATAAATATCATTAAACGTTTTTCTCTAAAACCAATAGTTTGGCTGGAAAAAAATATTTTCCATTTTTGTTGTATGGAATGAAACATAAAGTGGTCGATTTCGACTAAGCCTTGACAGATTTTGCTTTGAAACTACTTGAGCCTTGTTTAATGGCTTGTTGACTATAATCCTACACTATCAGCACGCGCCCAAATTTGCCCGTTCAGAAGTTATGAGGTTCCAAAAAAAAAAAAGTAAGTAAAAGTGTCTTTTTTTGGGTATATCTTTAAAGATTCAACTAAAACATGAAAATTCTATACTTTAGTAACGTAATTAACCTTTCTCTTGTCGTCTTGTCTTAAGAAAAGTCAATTTTACTTACTTTAATTTTCATTTTTCGGAACCTCATAACTTCTGAACGGGCAACTTTGGGCGCACGCTGTTAGTGTAGGATTATATTTAACAAGCCATAAAACAAGGCTCAAGTAGTTTCAAAGCAAAATCTACCAAGGGTTAGTCGAAATCGACCACTTTATGTTTTATTCCATACAACAAAAAAGGAAAATATTTTTTTCCAGCCAAACTATTGGTTTTAGAGAAAAACGTTTAATAATATTTATTCATCAGAATAACGTAACCCATCGATAGGGTATTTTTTTTAAACAGAAATTGTGAAAAAAAATCGCTTGTTTTATTACTATTAATTTTATTAAAATGTGTTTTTATCAGTAATTTAAGGTTAATTTACATTACTAACGTATAGAATCTTTATATTTTCGTTAAATCTTTAAAGATATTCCAAAAAAAAGTCACTTTTACTTACTTTTTTTTAATTTTTCAGAACCTCATAACTTGTGAACGGGCAACTTTGGGCGCGCGCTGATAGTGTAGGATTATAGTCAACAAGCCATAAAACAAGGCTCAAGTAGTTTCAAAGCAAGATCTGTCAAGGCTTAGTAGAAATCGACCACTTTATGTTTCATTCCATACAATGAAAATGGAAAATATTTTTTTCCAGCCAAACTATTGGTTTTAGAGAAAAACTTGTGCAGCATTTATTCATCAGAATAACGTAACCTATCGATAGATATTTTTTTCAAATAGAAATTGTGAAAAAATCACTATGTCCATAAATCTCAATTTCGATCCATAGTGTGGCGCAAGTACGTACCTATACTATACGGAAAGTTGTCCAAGTCGAAGTGCTAGCCCGCACCGCACACTGACGCGGCGACGTATGGGTATGGGCGACTTATGGGTGGCGGAAGAAGAGTGTAACCGAGATGGCGTTCACACTATTAAGTCTTGGCAGATTTCACACATAGTGTACTTGCGCCAAATTATTCAACCGTAAGTAAGTGACTGTTATAATTTTGCGAAGTAAACGCTGGGTTGCGATGCGAATTACGGGGCTGACTGATTACATTAGATTTTCCATGTCCAAGAGTGACTTTAACTGAAGGGACGTTTTCACTAATGTTGTTTTTTGGTGCTGCACTCAGGTTGCATCAGCAGAATAGCAATGATTTTGTATATTGCGAGGGTACATAACATTATTAATCTCCCTATTTGTCAGAAACAATATAATTTTTGTTACTGGCAATATTATAAATGTTACCCAGTTAAGATAAATCTACCATTTTGGGAGTTTTAGTACAATGTCTAATAATGTTAAAAAATGTGTGGCTAAAAAATTTAGAAAATTAAATTATGTTGATTTTCAAATTGATCTATAACAATAAATTTACAAGTAGGTACCTACCTACTTGTATATTACATTAGAGGTTAGGCATGATTGTTTTGTAGTTTTAATTTTGTGCCATCTAATACAGAATAATAAATACTTAAGTTACTTAAATTCTATTATTATCCCTGACTATACATAAATTCTCGTTATCTTTATATAAATTTAATAAATTATTAACTTTTGATAAAGTTAGACTTACTTATACAGGATGCCCCGAAAAATAGTGTCAAGTCAGAGGTAAAGCATCTCTAGGGCTACTTACCCCAATCACCGCGACTTTTGATAGTTTCGAGTTGTGTTTTTTACAACATTCGTGTTATGGATGTAAATACTTCTGAATCAGCTAGGTCTAGTATCATCTAATAATAATAGAAAAATGAGGCATGTACCTACTCGCGCCATAGTGACCAAAAAACTGCCTAAGCATAGAAATAAAAATAAAAAACATAACTCAAAAAAACTATCAAAAATTGCGGAACATAGTACATGGGGGTGATTCGGGTAGCCCTACTTCTGGGCTTCGGCCACTACTTTTTGGGACACTGTATAAAACATCTCTAAGTACAAAATACGTACTAATTAGTCACCAATTATTGTTAGCGATGGTCATCATAACATTCTAGCTAACTAGATAATCACAGAGGCTTCATAAAGTAGGTCCTACTTCTTAATTATTATTACTGACGGGATTGCTTAAGTTAAATCTGATTTTGACTGTACCTACTACCTACCTACTTGTGCCCATTTCTCTACATTTTCATG